TTTGGTAGAGAAGATCGGACAGATTTCGCCAAGGCAAGCTGGGCAGTCGCCTATTGCTCCTATTCCAGATAACCCACTGTACCCTGTCTGAAAGGAAGTAACGCTAGAGTAGACTCGCGAAAAGTGTATAAGACACTTTTAAGATCAACTAAATAGCTAAGCCCAAGGGAAGTCGTTCGGGGAGGCCCTCCCTAATTCCACAAGGGTGAGAAGAGAAAAGAACACGATAACGAAACGTTGAATCATGTAGAACTCGTAGGGTAAATGCAAAGCAAATTAGGAAGAATATGCAGTAAGCTAAGCGAAGAGGTAAGCAATGTTAGACTATACTACAATTACTAAACGAGTTAGTGCAACTATTACACTACTACTACATACAAAAATAACATCTACAATCAACAATTTTTCAAACAAAATGAACAAAAATAAGCATGCAAAATAAAAACTAATTCAAATTAACTACAAAAAACATGCAAAATTAAAAATTAATTTGAATAAAATGAATTTAATGAATTCTACTAGATAGAGCATGCAAGATAAAGAACTATTTCAACTATGGGATCATCTTGTCTTCTCCAACGTCGATCTGAAACAGATACGGTGGTAACAGATTAATAACGAGCAATTAATATTAATTGTTATGTATTCTCACCTTAATTAAAAGTTCAATGTGCTTTTCCTACAGTCAAAGATGAACTGTTTATTCATCTAAAGCGAAGAAATCTCAAGCGAGTGAAATGCAGCAATTCTATTGTAGAAAACTTGTTGTTCCAGTGAGATCCAAAGAAACTTCAATGTGCTCTCCTTGTAGGCATAAAATGGTCCAAAGTGATGAAATCAACAGCAAGAGAAATCCAGGTATTCTATTGTGGACAATTTGTTGTTCCATGATGTTCCAAACTTACTTCAATGCTCTCTTGTTTGTCCATCAACCTGTAGGAAACAGTAAGAAAAACGAATTAACTACATAATTATCAAATAAACCAGACATCAAATGAAATAAAAAGCAAACCAAAAGGCAAGTCAATTAGAGAAATATTAAATGGCGATTTGGAGTGGCTGGGCGTGCCTCTCATCATAGAAATTTTGTGACAGATGAAATAAATGACACTTGCTGCAATATATCACAGACCTTCCCCTCACAGACTTTCGACATAGATATTTAGTAACTATGGTAAAGAAAAAACAGCTAATTATTAAATGGCGACAACTGTCAGTTTTACAACCATAGACTTTTAATGACATAAATGTGAAATAATCATAGAAGCGCGTCCGTAGATAATAGTGAGAAGCAAACTTATAGATACACGACGTCGATTTATACAGTGGGCAATAGATAATTGTTAAAGAAAAACCATACATGTCGGAGACGACAAATTAAGTAGCATTAAAAAACAAAATAATAAGCAGCAAAACAATTGCTTACCTAGAGGATTACTGTACGATGCTCGAATTTTATTCCTAAGCTTTTACAACAGAGGAGTGCCTCGAACAATAGATGCTTATGAAAGGAAAAATGCCACTGATTATCAAATATGGTCACACAGCAGGAAGGCACAATTTCACACTGCAACTATATATACATCAGTGTAAATCACATCCAAGGGGCTTCACTTCTCCAGATTTCGAAATCTTTTTAATTTTTATCTTCTGGTTCATTTAATACGTTTCAATGATATCCTGTTGAAACAATTTAATGTTAGTTTCATTTTAAATATTAAGAGCTGTAAATTTCATCAACCAAATAGTAAATTATCAAATTCGATAAATAACTATTACAATTCAGAAGAGTAAAAGGTTATAGTAGTAATTATTGTCAAACAAATGGAATACACAAATTTTGCAAAATCACAAACTTCAATAACAAAAGATTTCCTACCCTTTTGACAAATGATCCTTCTCCAAGTCCAAGAGGAAGAAGTATTAGTAGGGCTCTGTTTCCAGTCCTTTCGATTTACTCTCTCCATGTTCATTTATTATTTTCAGTGGACAACTCTTAAAACAATGTAATATTAGTTAGTTTGTTATTATTTTATTATTAATGATAATCACCATTGTCAATATCCTATGTCCTGCGAATTTTTGACCAGCTCATTAGAAGCATTGTTGTCTGATTTCCACAATCACTACATCTGTAAGTAGTTTGTCTGACAAATCCAAGGATGTCATCTCAAAGCAAGCCTATATTATGTAAAAAAAAGACAAGTCGTTAAAACCCAATCAATAAAATCACAAGGCAAAAATAAAAATCGTTTTAACAGAAATTTTGGGCTTTAAAGACAACCTAATACTTTTGAGAAATATTTTACGTATTTTTACTACAAAACGAAGACAATTATTCGGGGCCTGGTCACATCAATTTGAAAAATCTACAATCATCATCTAAACCTGTTATCAAAATTTAAAAATGCTAACAAAACCCTAATTAGTCAATCTCAAATAAACTAACAATCTAAAAAAATATACAACAGATGTGTAGACAGGCAAGATGCCCCACGTTAGAGCATGAAACCCACACGCCGTTGTTATCATGTAGGTAGGAACGCTAAAAAACTAAGATACGGTAATTGCAACCAACCAATTAATTAATTAATAGAAACGTATTCCATACAATCAAATTAAAATTGAATAAGGATTAGGGCTAAATACCTTCAGGCGTCGTTTCCATTTCTAGACAGAAAAGATGGCACCTTCTCGTCGTATGGAAGAATGCAAGTGCAAGATGTGAGAAGATAGAAGATATAACGGATGTGACCGTAGAAATGGGACGAGCCGAAAGACCCATAGATGAAAATTCTTTCTATGCCAATGATACATAGATAATAATAGATTTTATAGATGCGTTCAGTTTCACCAACTCAGTTTAAATTGTAAATAAGAACTGATCCACCTTAAAAAAAAGAACACGTCAATAAAACTGGCATATTATAACTATTTATATCAATTTCTAAGAATTAATACAACATCGTCAAGTAAATTAGTTAAAAAAAGAATTTATGTGGATACTTTGTAATAATACTCAATACTTGAATAAAATATATATTCAAGATATAAAAATTAGAAATGTCTAAAAAGGGAATCAAATTGAACGTTGTCATATAGAATGCAATACATATACAATAACTACCTTTAATTAATGTTGTTACTCACCACTTTGTTGTCAAAAATCTTTTCTTGAGCAATAAAAGGCAAATTAAAAAAAAATATAAAAGCATAATAGTTTAGTTTCTGCTTTATTTGACGATTAACAAAATTAGATTTGGATAATTTAAAAAAATATTTGCCGACAGAACATATCAGAACATTTAAATATTTTTTAAACAGATAAAAATTTTTATTTTTAAACGAAAACGTCGATAAAAATAACTATTAAATTTAAATAAATCACATTTGCTAAATTTGTTTAATTATTTTCTTCATTTAAGTGTATTAATAATGAGCAAAATTCTTAAACGAAAGTGTAAGACTAATATCAAGACTGTCAATATTAGCAAGATCGAGACCAAGNTCAAAATCATTAAAAACCGAATTAATACTTTTGTCATAATTTTCTTTTGAATACAACAAAAATATCATTTCACTAAATGCACACATATATGAAATTTATAAAGTAGATCATTTTATTCTTTCAACTGCAACAAGATTTAAAAAAAAATTAACTGTTACACAAATACTACTTTTAGAAATAAAAATTTTCATATTCCAAAGAGTGGAATATTTAATAGCAATTCAAAAGTTATGTTTTCGTAGGTCGCTGATGTATGTATCATGATCAAATTAAAAAAGAATGATATGCTTTAAAACTTAGGCATAGTTTAAATTTATTATTAATAAGTAAGTATACATTTTCTATCTCTTTACTCTTACCATAAATAACATGTTTTGAAATCTTCCCAAGTGAATTGGATTATTAATCAAGTTAATCCGTTAAAGTAGCATGTTTTAGGATTGAAATTGTAATTGTAATAAATTAACAAGGAAGTATTATTTGTAGGTGACATTTGAAAGTCAAGTACCAATATTTTCATAGTTAAAAGTGAGAGCATTATGATATAATTCGATAAAAATATTACATAAGATTGCATTAAAATCATTATGTAATATTTTGTTGTAAAAGTTGTGAAGGGTTTACTACACCTGCAGAATTTGCCCTTACATGCTTATTTTATTTCTATATTTGGCGATTACCACAAAAATGATCCCAAGTATATTAAGGAGTTAAGCAGTATTTCGTTATTTAGAATAAGACTTACATTATATTTTTGTCAGAATTGTACTTCAAGTACATTAATTTTATTTATTCCTAATTTAGTGTACTTAAAACATTTTTAGTACAAAATGATAATAGCAGCAAACCTAGTGTTACTTTTTAAAGCACAAAAAGGCAATGAAACAGAAAATAAATATGAAGATGTCCTTCATAAAAATGGTTTTAAAACAGAACAATTAAAGTCGATAGATTTCAATTTTATCAACTTAGATAAACTACAAGAAAAATTAATGAATCCTGATGCATACCAAGGAATTATTTTTTCAAGTCCTCGATGTGTAGAGGGTGTTGCAAAGGCTTTAAAAAGGTCCAAGCTAAATACCGAGTGGAAAAATAAGCACAATTATGTAGTAGGAGAAATGACTTATAAATGTGCTTTTGAAGATCTTGGATTAGATTGTATGGGAAAAGACTCTGGAAATGGCGAAAAATTGTCTGCAATTATAATAAAGGGTTTGTTGTTGAATGTGAATAATTTTTCACTGGAAATGATATTTTTTAATGTTTGATTTTTACCAGATGTTAGTATGCAAGACAGCAGACCGTTTTTGATGCCTTGTGGCAATTTGAAAACAGATACAATAGAAACTCGTCTAAATGAATTTAAAATACCTACAGAAGCTGTAACTGTGTATGAAACGATTACCAATCCAAATTTTGCGCGAGAATTTTCTAATGTTACAGATGATTTTGAAAAAATTCCTGAATTTATGGTTTTCTTCAGTCCTTCTGGAGTGAAAGCATTTTCTAATTGTCTAGCAGGAAAGTTTAAACATTACTTAAACAGTATAAAGGTATTAATATACTTCCAATAAGTCAAAACACGTTGATAAAAAACTCTAATTACATAGTTTATATCAATTGGACCTACAACAAGTAAAGCAATTTTAGATGCAGGTCTCCCAATTTATGGTGTCGCCAAAAAGCCTAATCCTGAAGAACTTTTAAAGGCAATACAACAAAACGAAATGCAGTAATATATTATCAAGTTTTCATGTAATATGTTGTATTATATTATATTTTCTAACTAATATACAAAAAGTATATAAAAGTCATAGCTGGGTAAATATTGTTTACCTGCCTTTGCGGCAATTTTTGGTGAACGTACTTATCCCCTAAATAATGAACTATGCTTACCTTGTTAAGCCGTTTATAAATATTATTGTATATATAATATATTTCTGTATATATTACCTAAGTTTGTTGCTGAAAAAAATAAACATTTATGTACCACTCTGTTATTCTCACAACTATTAAGGGACAAACAGTAATGCGGTAATTCAAATCGCTGAAAAATTGTTCATTTATTTTCATAAAAAATATTTGAGGTTCATATTGTAATTAAACAAATGATAATTAACGTAATTAAAAATTGTTTATTATTGAGAAAAATGTCAATGTACAATTTAAAAAAATTGCCACCAAGATTTCTTCTACCTAACAAGTTTAAAACTAAACAGTTAAACGATGATCAAAGAAAAATATACCTAAATGATACACGCGAGTCCTCCATAAAATTAAAATGAATAATTACACATCACGTTGTCATAACTGAAACCGAAAAATTTCAAACGAAATAAAAATGAACGCCTTTATTGTCAATTATCATAGGACTTTTTTGTATCACAGATCATTTCTACACGAACATAATAATGAGTGCTAATTTCTCCTGCACCAACTGATTGTTCCTACTGCTACAAATAATCTCTTAATAATTACGGTATGGCCTTATTTATTTCATTCGCTTATAAAAAAAATCACGTTCTCAACGTAGCCATTAAAATTATATTATTAGTGTTTTGTATAAAATATTCCTATTCTACTGTTTTTATTTTTTCTTAATTAGATGTTGTGAAAAACAACTCTTTCTGTGTGACGATTAGTTCTTTCGGAGATTTAAAATATTTATACTTATAGTTATCATTCGGAATCATTTACAAATCGATATTTGTCAATCCTCTGTCTAATCGCAATAATCGCCTCACTGTCGTCATACATATCTTTAAGATAATAAAGCCTAAGTTTATGTTCACTGTGGCACTCTAAAACCTCCCACTTTTGAAATAATTTGATGGCATTTTTTACCGAGTCACTCGACACACATTCTTCTGTAAAAAAAAAAAAATGAAAGTAAAAAAAAAAATAACAAAGAGCAAAACACCACACGAAGCAAAAAAAAGCAACCAAAACAAATTTCGGAAACTTATTGTTTCTTTAACTCCTCTATACCCTATAGACCAAAACTAAGCTTTTATTTATTTAATATCTTGAATTACTTCTGCAATGATAATAATTTTTTTTAAACATTTTGAGAAACCTGAAATGCAATTCTTGCTTACTACCCAAAATAAATATCCTGAAACTTACCATGCTTTAGGACTCCGCTGTCGACCTGCCGCCTCATTTCTTTTACAACGTCTTTGACAAGATCGCCTTCAAGCATAGATCTACCAACGAGCTTCTCCAAGCAGAAAGCTGTTACCGAATAAGCCTCTATGAGAGGCAAAAGCAGATTGCGTAAAAACTCTAGTGTCCCCTTGGCAAATTCCTCCGAACTGATTAGAAGTTTCGGCATGTTTTGTCCTCTATCACCCTCTTCTTCACCATCCAACACGTCATCTTCATCGAAAAGTTCTTGTGCTAGTCTCCGGCCTCTTTCCAAATCTTGGGAATTAATATTATCCTAAAATATTAAGTAGAAAAGGATACATTATTTATTAATAACTGCTGACAATATGGAGTATTATTAATTCAAAATACTTTAAGACATTTTCATTATTATTATATACATATTACAACAGATTTCCAACAAATTACTTATTCGTTAGAATACTGCGAATTTATAAATTTTTTCATTATTCATTAACAGTCATGAAAATTCATCATAAAACAATTAATAACTACTCAGTAAACCCCCATAAATGTAACTTATTTACTCACCCTTTGCAAAACTTCCCTCTTAACAATAAAATCATCGACACAATCCAAAATGCAAACGTCTAAACTTTGGCACGGTTTGTGAAAAATAAACTCGAACTGTAGAATTTCACACAAGTCCATCGACGATTCAACAAGATCGTTTTCGAAGATGTACGCGAATTGGGGGTTGCAGCAATTGTTGAGGGCCAAAGCGACAACCGACTGAAGGGCATAATACGGTAAAACCACGTTACTGTAATACGCTAACTCTATAACATTTGGTAACATAGAAACTGGCTTTATTATCTCTTCGTTATTCACCTTGTCTCTCTTGATTACTGCAGGGCCCAATAATTCTATCTGCAATGAAATTAAACAAATCTGAAATAATATCCTCATTTAGTTCTAAATAAAAATCAATACGAATTATAGAAGGAAAAGTGTAAAAACTTTGAAGATTTTGAAGCTTATTTTTGTAATAAAAATAAGACAAAATAAAACATATTTACTTTCCTAATATTTTTAATAACTTACCGCATAATGAATTACGTCTAGAGAATCCCCACTAAAACCCACATCAACGTTAGAACTCCTCAGTTCCTTTCTTAATTCATCTAAAGCTACAACTAAATCGTCTATTTTGGTTCCTTCCCTAAATTTATTGAGCAGTAAAAATGCCACAGCATTCGTCGACATCACAGCCGTATTGTTACCACAGTCTGAAAAATATTAATCAAAATCATTAAAAACCGAATTAATACTTTTGTCATAATTTTCTTTTGAATACAACAAAAATATCATTTCACTAAATGCACACATACGAGGGTGGATTGATAAGTTTCCGGCCTGACCAAGAAAAACAAGGTTTTTAAAAATTTTTTTTTTTTATTTCTCAACATAATCTCCTCCAAGGCTGATACATTTCTCATAGCGGTGTTCCAGTCTATTAATGCCATCTCTATAGACTGATTCGTCAAGCTCCTCAAAATAACCATTTACAGCTTCGATTACTTCTTCATTGTCCGCAAATCTCTTACCGCCAAGCCATTTTTTGAGATTAGGGAACAGAAAATAGTCACTCGGGGCTAGGTCTGGAGAGTAAGGAGGGTGCGGCATCAATTCAAACTTTAGATCGTTGATTTTAGCCGTCGCAACGATTGACGTGTGCGCTGGTGCGTTATCGTGATGAAACAAGATTTTTTTCTTCGCCAGATGAGGTCGTTTAATTTTCACCTCGTGGCTCAAACGTTGCAATAAGTCTGCGTAGTATTGACCAGTGATAGTATTACCCTTTGCAAGGTAATCAATGTATATAATACCTCTTGCATCCCAAAAAACAGTAGCCATAACCTTGTTCGCCGAAAAAATTGTTTTTGCCTTCTTTGGAGTTGGTTCCCCTGGTCCAATCCACTGTTTAGACTGTTCTTTGGTTTCAGGAGTGTAGTGGTGGACCCACGTTTCGTCAACGGTTACGAATCGACGCAAAAATTCGCTTGGATTACGCTTATACAATGACAAATTTGCGGTAGAAATGTTTTTTCGAATCAATTTTTGGTCGACTGTTAGCAAACGCGGCACCCATCTTGCACAGAGCTTTTCCATATGCAAATGTTGGTGCAAAATATGTTGCACACGTTCATATGACATCTTACAGGTCTCAGCTATCTCACGCACTTTCAATCTGCGGTCTCCCAGCACTATTTGATGAATTTTTTCGATCATATCTGGAGTTGTGACCTCAACGGGGCGTCCTGAGCGAGGCCCATCAGAGGTGCTCACACGACCCTTTTTAAACTCGGAAACCCACTGCTTAACGGTTGAATATGACGGGGAGGATGTCCCCAGTGTTGAGTCCATCTCTTTTTTAATTTCCTTCGGCGTTAACCCCTTCAAATAAAAGTATTTGATGACAGCACGATTTTCCTGCTTTTCCATTTTTACGAAAACCACAGAGGCGTCTTGTTCAGCGTGCTGTCAAACCTACACTAGCAAGGAGATCGGGCTGAAACTATAGCTACAAGCTATCCAAGGATGGTACTATAGAATGTCACCTCAAGGTAGGCCTAGTGGCGTCATCTCTTGGTTAGGCCGGAAACTTATCAATCCACCCTCGTATATGAAATTTATAAAGTAGATCATTTTATTCTTTCAACTGCAACAAGATTTAAAAAAAAATTAACTGTTACACAAATACTACTTTTAGAAATAAAAATTTTCATATTCCAAAGAGTGGAATATTTAATAGCAATTCAAAAGTTATGTTTTCGTAGGTCGCTGATGTATGTATCATGATCAAATTAAAAAAGAATGATATGCTTTAAAACTTAGGCATAGTTTAAATTTATTATTAATAAGTAAGTATACATTTTCTATCTCTTTACTCTTACCATAAATAACATGTTTTGAAATCTTTTCTACAATTGGTTTGTGTTTGTCAGAAACAACGTCTGTTCCGTACAAACTGGTCGTTGAAGGATTTGATTTTAGCTTCTTCACCATGCCGTTTATTTGATGTACTTTACCAGTTGTATCAAAAGTTCTGACCAATTCCTATCACAAAAAAAATTAATGAAAAAGTTAGAATACACTATATTTTACAAACTATCGCGGCAATAAACTTGAGTCTTACGAACTGGTGGCAAACATAGGCAACTCAACATACATTTAGTAAATCCAGGTTGCATAAATTAATTAAGCAAGCTAGGTCTGTGGTAATTTGTATATTAAAATAAATTAGATATATTAATTGGCTTGTGGATACACATGTATAAAAATCTGAAAAAATAACTAAATGCACTAAATGGAAAAACATTAACCACTTCAACCCTTGTCATCAGTTTAAGAAGATTTAAATAAAACTATCAACAATAGATTAAATTATTATCAAATTTGATGCAAGGAGTCCCCATAAATAATTTCTGTTTTTACACCCTTTTTTTCATTGAAATAAAATTAACGAATGAACTACAGATTTTATGACATTGTGAAAGGTGAAAAGCACCTTAATAGAAAAAAGACAATTTTTAAATAAAATTTTTTGCTTACCCTCATTGAGAATGGTTGATGAAAATCAATCCTCATCATGCCATAATTACTATTAAGAACGTGCCAGATTCCTTTAATAGCAGCGGCGAACGTTTCCATCTCTTTCGGTTGGCCCAGTTGTTCCCGAACGAAGTTACCATCGACCAGTTTTTCATAATTGACACTGACAGGTACCAGGAGCGCGTCCTCGATGGTCCCGTCCATAAAAGCATCCAGGATGACACTTAGAATTCCATATTTGGGCATGCAAGGTTTACCCGTTCTTGTGCGGCCTCCCTCCAAGAAAAATTCAATGTTGTGACCCGCTCGAAGACAAGCATTCATATAAGTGTGCAAAACAGTCTTGTAAACGTGGTCTTTTCGACCCATTATCGGGTCTATTCGGCGTTTAATGAAAAACGCACCAAGACCTCGCAGAAGTGATCTAAAAAATAATTACATGACTTAGTGAAAAAAACGGAGAGAACAGTGCGCCCTAAAATTTACTTTTGTGAACAATTTACTTAATCATTTTTTTTGTGTTAAAAATTGTTTGAAACATTAAATTTAAAGGAATTGTTTGTAAATAGGTATGCAACACATCGTACACTTCAGCATAAGAAATTGCTGATACTAACTTTCATTTACATAATACTACATTGCCCTGTACTGACAGCACTTATAATTTTCTTTATATATAATGTTTAAAATATATTATTTCAACTTGTTATTATGAAATATAATTGATAAAAAATCCTACCTACCCAAAAAATGGAATTCGAAGATTGTCTCCCGCTGCAACAAGTGGCGATCTGATGTTATTGTTTAATAAAATAAAGGAAATAAGGATGTAATCTAAATGCGATTTGTGTAAAGGCAAGAATATTAGCGGATGTCCGCTTTCGCTAGCTTCTTTCAGCATTTCCACCTGACCGTGGTGCACCACCACGGAACTGAGAAAGCACGGAAGAAGTTTATATAACACCCACGAAGTAAACCTACAAATTTTAAAACAATCAGTTTGATTATTATTAATTAATTCAAATGTTTAAATCGAATAGGTCAAACACAAAAATTTAAAAATCACTTACCTTAACAGGAAGTCCGACAGCGTGGATCGCATATCCTTCAGAATTTTCTTGGCTCTGTTCTCGTTTGTTTTCAGCAACTGCTTGTAAATTTCGTCGTCGTTTGTGTCTACATCTTCGAAGTGCTCTAGAGCCGTCTGTTCGATCGCATTTTTCAGTCTGGGCTCTTTCAATATTAATCCGGCGACTTGCGGAAAATCATACTTTTTTATCGAATAACATTGGGCAAGATGAGGAAATAGCCGATAGAATAAACCGCTTTGTTGCGGCGAAAAGTTTTGTTCAAGCACATTTATTAGAGGTGAATTTTCTGTGGTTTTATTCACCAAAGAATCCTGAAATAAAAGAAAGCTTTAATGTATAACAAAAACGCACCTGGAAATTTTCAAACGAATACAATTTTGCTATGAAATAAAACTGCTTTATTATATATACTGAGTTTTTTTTTACAATGCTACTAACTTTTTGTTTATAAAACGATGCAAATCTTTCACTTTGAGACCACGACTTCATTTTTCACACTACTTTTAAAAATAAACTGATGTTAATGCCGCATTCACTGCATAGTGAGCCAGCCATATTATTATTAGATAGAAGAAACTATTATTAGTCAACGTTTCGGTGGGTAGTATCGTGGTTAATAAAAGTACCCACTTAACAATTAGTTTGTAAGGCAGATAATAAAATTTGTTTTGGTATTTTTCAAACCAGTTTTTTAAATAAAATGCATACAGGGTGTTCCGGGTTAAGTTTTTATAAATATAATTAATTTGATAAAAAGATGATTTTATTTTTAATGAAAACACACTTAATGTTATCTTAATGTATAAGAAATTAAAAAGTGAGTGATTTATAGTGATATTGCATTATAAAACTACAAATTCATCTGTCTATCTTTAAAATATTTTGGTTAACTATGCCTTAAATTAAAAGTCCTAGTTAAATATTTGTCAGCATTAAAACTGTCTATAAAGATGTAACTTTACTATTTTCACATTCTTTTTAACAGTTGCAATTATGTTGATGAAATTTTGGTGTAAACGATCTTATCAACTTTTCACAGTTATTAAATATGTAACCAGATAAATTTTGATTTAGAACGTTATCTTGTCGCCACAATAATAAGCCGATTTAAATGAATGTAAAAATTAAAAAAAAAACTTAGTAACTTTCTAACAATTTCAACCAAAGAAGTATGTATACTATGCATAAAGTTCTAGTTTAATTACGAATATGATAATAAAAATAAAAATTATTTTCGTACTTACCCTACTAGACGGAGTACAACCTGCGCAGCATAAGCCAGTATAAGGACGCTTCACAGGATGGGCCACAGGCGTTGCAGTTTCTTTGATTTCATAAAGATGACTTTCTTTGGCCTGAAAAAAACGAAAAAATTAGGTACTAAAGTAACTATTTTATATCCTGGCAATTTAATCAATCTTTATGCGCCGTTACTGCGACCAGAAGCACAGCTACGGGTAATAAATCCGAGTGGTCCAAGGCCCATTCATTGAAAGTTCTGGCCTATGTACTGGCTCACCCTGAATATTATAATATAACTTAAAAACAGCAAAGATTTGAATGCTTCACACAACCCGAGACGCTTTGCTTGATGCAAAATTATGCGGCGTTTTCATCTATCGTCATCATAAGGTCGTCAGTCCTACGACTGACACTTTCCTATCCTGAGCTAATCGTCACAACCCTAAACATCCCACATCCTTAACTATTTGCAAACAGTAATCTAATCGAGGTCTACCTTTACCCCTTTTAACTCCTGTTTCTGTCTCTAATATGTATCTGATAGCCCTTCATGCCTGAGAAGGTGTCCTGCCAACCTATCTGGCCTATTTCTTATTGACTTCCATAGAGCCCTGTGTTCTCCTATTCTTTCTAATACCTCTTCATTTCTAACCTTCTCTATTCACGGTATCCTCATCATTGGCCTGTAACACCACATTTCGAACATTTCTAACCTATTATTTTCCTCAGCGCCCATCGTCCCTGTTTCGCAGCTGTACAGCGTCGCGCTCTAAACATACATCTTTAACAATGTTTTTCGAATTTCCAAATTAATCGTTCGCGAGAGTAGAAATAACTTCTTTATATTGAAAGCGACTCGACCCTGCGCTATTCTCTGCTTTATATCCCTACTACTCCTTCCATCCTGACTTATCTGACTTCCCAAATACCTAAAATTGACCACTTCTTCTAATCTTTCTTCTTCTATCTTTATATTCGCTCTTTCCCTACTTTTTCTTCCTTTGCATACCAGTATTTTTGTTTTACTTTTATTTTTTTTCATACAGTACTGTTTTGTAAATACCGATTCCATTTTATTTACAGCTACCTCTAACTTCTCCTTTCTAGATGCAAATACAGCAAATCTTCTGCAAATCTAAGCATACTAATCTTTTGCCACTCTATATCTGTCCATACAGTTGTACTGTCTTAAATGATGTTGATAGCGTCTTCGATGTATAGATTAAATAGTAGCGGTGACAGTGTGCATCCCTGTCTGACTCCCTTCCTAATATTTACTTCTCTATGTTGCATCCCTAGCTCTATAACTGCCTGTTGCTCTTTATACAAACTAAGTATCACTCTTCTATCTTTGTAACTCATCCCTACATTTTTGAATATATTTAACATCTTGTCCCATTTAAGATTGCCAAAAGCTTTCTCTAAAACTACAAATCCTATATATGCACTCTTTCCTTTTTCTATCGTATTCTCTGCTGTTACCCGTAAAGCTAGAATCGCTTCCCCCCTCCTTCCCACTTCCTCTATTTATCTAATGATACAAAAATATGCAGATCGAGGTTTTTCTCTTTACGAGCATGATTGAATTATTTACCCAAGAAAATTTCACTTTCAGGACGATAGGTAGTGAAAAACGCACCAGGGGAAGAAATGACATTGTGCCTGTGTGGAACAGTAGAGTCGTTTTATTTGAGATTTTTTTTACTTATGCTTCTTGTGTAGTCAAAACGGTGATGGTGTGATCTTACGCAGTTTCTTATCCATGTAAATACACATATGTATATCTTTAAATGAGTTGTATCTGTATGAGTAATACAATTTCCGGAAAATTGATGAGATTATAACAAGAAAGAATATCTTTTGTCTACACCAAATTGGGTAACACCCTATGACGTTCTTCCTCAAAATATAATAAGTAAAACAATAAAATATAGATCACGCTTATCATGTTTTAATCAATTTCATTTGATGTAGCGCCTACAAAATGTCCAAAACAATTCAAGATACTAATTTATTAAATTCTTTTGGTGGGTAGGTATATTTTATGGTACACATTGTTAGAATAACGTAATTGGAAATTGTTTCATTTCTGCACTTGAACTTTAACCGCAGTGGGAACAAGAAATTGTTGATTCAAATTTTTTTCAAAATGTTCCTACTTAAGAAGTTACCATTTACAATTTTTATTTGCCTAATGTCTTACAAGTGGAATGCATTTTTACATATTTGTCAAAAAATGCATAATAAATACAAGAGATATTGATAGATAAATAATATAATTTATGCAAGTGTTATTGTAATAGAAATCTATTTCTTAATATGTAAACTTTCACTATCACCACATTTAAAAACAAAACATGCAATTGAAATATAACGCTCAACTTTTTACTATTGACTGGCGCAGTTAATATACAGTCTATTTCAAAGAAAAAAAAAAAACAAAAGAAAGTAGAAAACAGTTCACGTCTTTGGCAAAATTCCTTTAAGTATTATACCAGTTAAAAACAAGTAGGCTTATTATGTACTAGTTTCCTGTACTTAAAATGATTACTCATATTTTTATACCTGCCTACCACGCACGCCACTTCAGCGGTGGAGTTTCCTACATTGAAATTTCTCTACAAATCAAAGTATTTAACAAAGATTTGTATTTTACGAGAAGAGATGTAATTTATTTGAAATACATGCATTTAAAAATAATATATAAAAAATAAAAAATACCTATTTTTATCTTGNGATATAAAATGATTGATGGTGATTTTACATTAATAAAATTATATGGCTCTGATCGTTCACGCTAAACAAACTATTTTGGCATCAATGTCCTTTTTCCAATTATAACGGTTGACAAAGGTAAATAGGGAGTCATATAGAAGAATTATTTGTTGCTGAACTGAATAAACTGTAACATAAATATGGAAAAACTGTATCTCAATCACTTCAAATAGAAAAATATGAATCATACTCAATCTTCGCAGCTGGTGATATAACACCACTATTAGTCTAGAATTTAAAAAATGAGAAAATGCCTTTTTTAAAAAAATGTTTTACACCTACTTAAGTTAAATAGATGCTTCAAAAAAGTATTTATTTAAAAAAAGTATTTTGAAAATACGTATTTTGCATTTAGCATTTAAAATACAAAAGGGAAATCTATTTTGTATTTTACATTTGAAATAACAAATCAAAAAACTATTTGCATTTTGTATTTAAATACTTTTAAAAAATCATTTTGCACATCTCTAGCTTCCATATCACAAGTGTCTTAATCGTTTTAATAAAATCATTTTGTTATATATCTACAAAATTAAATAGGTACTACAAAAAAGTATTCATTTTGAAAATACGTATTTTGCATTTAGCATTTAAAATACAAAAGAGAAATCTATTTTGTATTTTACATTTGAAATAACAAATCAAAAAAGTATTTACATTTTGTATTTAAATACTTCTAAAAAACCATTCTGCACATCTCTATTCACAAGACAGTAGTGTAATCCCTTTTGGTGTATATGTTAGGCCCGAAGACCGAAAACGCTCAGTGGCCGGCAAAAACGGCCACATCGCGTTCTGGCTGCCTTCGAACGCACAGAACGCGTTTTGGCTGTTTTTAAACGCTCGCAACGCGTTCTGGTAACTGTTAAACAGCCGGAACGCGTTTTGTCAATTGTTGAACGCTCACAACGCGTTCTTAATGTTCGACTTGTATTATTTGCCGCTTTCTACCTGCGTACAATGAGATTTATATTGTACTTATAAAACAAATGAATTTCAATCCATTTTTCAGTTTTTAGGAAACAATTCAATTATTGACAACTATAATTGGATACCAAAGATGGGTTCGGTTTTTCTCGCCGAATCATTTCAACAATATTAAATTTCTTATAATTGTTTTTCAGTTCTAGGAAGAAAGTTACACTGAACACTTATATTGTCGAGACTCCTGATTTTGCGCGCATTTTGAGCATGCTCAACTTCTCGTACAAGCAATTCGTACCTTTCCTCAGACAGCAACATAGATCTATCGTCACTACTATCAATAATTGGTTTTACTTTATCATAAAAAATTTCTTTCGCTGATTTATCAGACATTTTAATGAAAGTGTAACTTTTCAAACGACTTTAGTAAGTTGTTTAGTCAATGACATACTGATCTTCTCGCTACACTGACGAGAACTGTACTGATTTTTCATGAAGTTAAGTTAGTTATTATATACTCAAACTACTAAGTGTTCAGTGTAACTTTCTTCATAGAACTGAAAAACAATTTTAAGAAATTTAATATTGTTGAAATGATTCGCCGAGAAAAACCGAACCCATCTTTGGTATCCAATTATAGTTGTCAATAATTGAATTGTTTCCTAAAAACTGAAAAATGGATTGAAATTCATTTGTTTTATAAGTACAATATAAATCTCATTGTACGCAGGTAGAAAGCGGCAAATAATACAAGTCGAACATTAAGAACGCGTTGTGAGCGTTCAACAATTGACAAAACGCGTTCCGGCTGTTTAACAGTTACCAGAACGCGTTGCGAGCGTTTAAAAACAGC